TTCCCCCCCCCCCCCCCCCCCCCCCCGAGTGGAAAAAGAAGGTGTGGAGAGTTCCGATGTGTTCCGGTGCGCCGCTTTGAGTCTGTGTGCCTTTGCCAATTTGCGTGCATTTGCATGTGGGTGAGTCATCACATCAGGGCCTTTAAGGATCCACTGTAGTTAAGCCAATTTCCTTTGTGAAGCAGCTCAGCGTAGAGCAGCTCAGTGAGTTCAAGGTTAAGTCGGACCGCGAAGGCAACACTCAGTGGGCGTGTCCAACAGCAGCACTTTACCTTCCGACACTGCAGAAGAATCTCCGGAACATCGCGTTATTACCCAAAAAGCATCTCTGAATTTGTCTCAGATAACAAGGGTATTCGTTGTTTTTCACTTTCTGAGTGTCTCAGTAGCAGCTAAACACCAACTCATTTGCATTTTATCCCAATCCCATTTTATCTCCCCACTCTATATGAAGCATTTTATGCCTTGTACTCGCTCCAAGAGGGGCTCATTTAGAGCAAAATCTGGCAATCAGAGTCTCCTTGAATCAGTAAACAAAGACTTTTTGGGGGTATTTGAGGACATTCAAGGCACAATCAGTTTAAATCACTTCAACAAAATCATGATATTTTCAGAAAACATATCTATACATAATGGCAAAACCTGAAAACAAAGAGAGCAATACAAAGAAATGTGCACTTGCAACCACATAAACAGGTTGCACATGTCCATGATGTGTTAGTTAATGCAAAGAGTGTTTTTTCCCTTCTCGTATTGTTTTGATTGGAGTCATTAGAGGGTATAAGTTTCCTTCCCACATTGGACACCATTGACATTGCTATCTTCGGGAGGGACCATCTATTAAATGTGAACATTGTGTTCTCTTTTCAATCTGCACTACAAAATGAAGCAGAAGCGGTTTACCTGCTGTTAGCGTGCACGTTATGTTGGCGTGATGGGGTGACGTGGTAGCACATGTATGCTTTGTTGCTTGCTAAGATGAGGTAGCTGAGGGTGAATGTTTGGCTGCTGCTTGGTGGGTCGAGCAGCATGCTGCCGGTGATAGCAACATGCTAAATAGCGTAATATGTTGTTAGCTGGCTGCTGTTAGATAACATGCTGTTAGCTGATGATGGTAGCTGGAGATGTTGTCGACAAAAGGTCATTTCTAACTTCCTACAGAGAGCTGTGTTGAGTGTGTGCGTGCAGTTGATCTGGCATTAAGCATCACAACAAGTAGTATGCAGTAGACAGATGGATGATGTTGATGTGCAGGAATCCACAGCTTTTACAGTTGTTACTTTTAGTATTCGTGTTATTCTTGAGTTTAAGAGCCTTCAGACCAATCAATTGTTTATAGTAATTTTTAAATGTCTTTGTTTGTGTTTTACGGCTTGGTACGTTTTTTCCAGAGCTGACTCAGTATTGAGTAGTGAGTGTCTGTTATTATAAGGCTAAGGATAAAGCCACCAGAATAAACAGAGGAGTCACTGAGAGAGGCTGGCATAAAAGGATCCGAGCATGGGATTAATGTGCGCTCACACACACACACACACACACACACACACACACACACACACACACACACACACACACACACAGTAACTTGACCTGCCGTCTGAGTCTTTGGCTCTGGCAGCAAACGACACAATCAGCCATGTGTGTGAGAGGTCAGGTTTGTCTCTCTGCACTGTATACGTTTTCAGTATCCGGTGTTTATGTTCCCTCAACAGATACAGACTTTACTCGTTTGTTTTTTCCTCAAGCTTTGTCTTTCTATTTCATCCATCACTTCTGACGTGACTCTTTATCCCACCGCTACTAAAGACTCAAATTCAAGTGAGACCTCCATTCAAAATAAACTAATCCTTCTTGAAGTCCTCGTCTTCCCCACGCTATTTTAGTTAGTTTCTCTCTTTTTTTTTTTGCGGTTCTCTCTATGTATTCCTCCCACCTCATCCTCCCTCTCTGATTGGCTGATTTGAATTTTCAAAAAGGAACCAATCCCCTTTTTTCCCCCCGTCAGAGACACAGGATGTACACTCATCCTTTTTTTTTCTCCCTCCTTCCTTCTTCCAAAACAACCAGATGGAGAGACCGCAGCGGAGAGACAGACAGCAACAGCAGAAAGCCCATGACATCACAGTCTCACTCTCACACACGCTCACTCTCTTAGAGGGTATAAAGGCCTCATTGTATCCTCTATCACATGAAAAAATGTCAGCGGAACGCTGTGAATTTGACCGAGTGTATCCATCGTCCAGGGTCGGTGCGACAGAAAACACACACAGAGGCTTTAGCCTGCACTCAGTGTGTTTGTGTATAACTGGCCTTTACCAGGGATTCCTGAAGCGATTGTGACGACTGGCGTGTATGTGTACTGTGTGGGACACTTGTAAAAGAGAGCGTTGTCTATATGTACATTTACTTCATATGTGTATGTGCGAAGTTGGTCTTAAAACGCGAGATGAATGACTGATCGGTATCTGTATCGGTGAGTGCCTGACTTTTCTACTCAGATCATTTCCGCCAGCTTTGCAACATTAGAATACTAGAATCTATGACATGAAAAATGTTTTTTACACAAGTGGCCTTATGATAATTGAGGGAACATAAATACATTCAAACAATTCCTCACAAACTGAGTGGGCATTTTGCAGTAGTGACTATGCACTTTAAAATCAGTAAACAAGCTGACAGCCACACTTTGACATGTTATTATTCTAGATATCTCACTTTCTCTATCCTGCTTGTATACTGTTTGCATTAACACAGCTGATCTCAAGCCGTGACACAACTTCAGCGCCCCTCTCCCTCAGACACACCAGCACTCACTTTGACGTCTTGCTCCAGCGTTCGTATCAGTTCTCCGTCCACCTGCCCCGTTTGGGCCACGCGGACGGAGCGCCGCTCTGCCTTCCTCAGCCGGTACTGCAGGATGCGGCAGGTCTTGTTTGCCTGAGAAACAGAAGAACCGTTATGTGTTCATCTGTTCTAAGCCCTCTTTGCTTCACTTTTAGCGTTCCTTCAAGGACAATTTGCCTTGGAGCAGCCATTAGAATACAAAAGAAGACATGCAGACATTGCACCTGGTCTTGTGTGTAGGCCCTCCTGCTCAGCGATGACATTCAGATGATTGATTGCCCGCTATCTTACTTGCCCGTTTCAAAACATTTTGCCAGCCTTTGTCTGTGTTTTTTATACATTTAAAGTTCCAAATCAGGATATCACGTCAAAGCGAGAGCACGGGTTCGATGATGACCATGCGGTCGGTCTGTCCGCCCACAGTCGTACCTGCTCAAGCTGCTGCCGTAGGTCCTGCAGCTGGTAGACGTCATCTTCCATGTACATGTCCCGCATCTCCAGCATCTCAGACCTCAACTCCTCCATCTCATCCTGGGGACGGGGGAAGAAGAGCGTGTAAGTGCATCTGTCATTTCAACAATACTACTCAACCTGCAGAGGAAAAGAGCGGTTATTGCACAGACTGTAACCCTGAGTGCTGACAGCATGGTGTGCACATACAGTATGTGGGCCATGAAGGGAATCCTGTAACGTTTAATAGGAGTCATTAAAGCTTTTAGCATCTTTGTCATTAATGCAAAGACAATAGTCCTCATCAAAAAATCATCATCCATTAACCTTGTTCGCAATCCATCCCATCAATCGCTGCTCGCTGTCGTAAGGCACCACATCTTCATCAACCTGATTATCAGTGTAGCCATTACAACCACTGGTGTCTTCTTAAAACGAACTGCTGTGTAATATTCTCTCAAGTCTCATAAAAAGGGTCATTAGCTATAGAAAGCTCCACGTTGTAAGTAGCAGAGGGGTGAAGTAAGTAATATGATACTGTATTGATTCTCCTCTCTGTCTCCCACCCAGGAGGTCAGAGGTCGGGGTCAGGTTATCAGATTACCTTCAGAGCGACTCTAAACAGTCCCTGGTTGAGAGGAATTGAGGAAAGAAAGAAAGTAAATTCCTATACTCTAAAAATCTAAACAGAAGTTTCAATTTTAAAAAAAGTATGAAATACCACTCATAAATAAGCCAGTACATGTGATTAATTTATGGTATGCTATCTAGCTCTCATTTGGACATATTAGAGATGAATTATTCATTTAAGCCTGAGAGCATAAATTGCATCGTCCCTCTGAATCGTATCTACGGTGCAGCTCTTGTTTTCGTGTGCGTTTCTGCATTGAAATGCACCCCATCCCAAGAAGTCTGTGTCGCTGGGCTTCAAGGGACAGCAGGCGGGCTGTTACACAACAGTGTGCTTCCAAGAGTGTGTAATGTGTGTGTGTGTGATGTGTAAGCAAAATAAGCAAAAGGAGTACAAGCGGCTGTAGTAGGAGTAGTACTAGTGCTGTCAAAATGTACTACAGTGGATAATGTGGGTCAGCCTCTGCTGAGCCTCTGCTATAGCAACAATGAGCACTGGAGATGTGTCTGTGTGTGTGTGTGTGTGTGTGTTGGGAAAAAGACAGCAAAGAAAGGGATTGAGTGGGTATGGTGTGTCTGCGCTGCTACGACCTGCAATATAAACAATTTGTACGAGTATGGATTGTCAACATGTTAATGATTAAGATAATGTGACGTGTTTGGTGCAGCATGCAGCAAACTGTGTGCTTGTGTGAGTCTCTGTGTGTGATCGAGCTAAAATAGACTGCCGCAGGAAGCAATCTGCACGATACTGACCACTGTGCTACACATCTGCAATACAGAGGAGAGAGGGGCCAAAGATGAAATGAAAAAGGAACTACGGACAGGAAAGTAGGAAAGAGAAAGAATGGCAGAAAAGGAATGAAAAGAAGGAGGAGGGAGAGAAAAGAGTAAGACAGAGAAGTCTAGAGGATGACTAAAAAAGATCATGAAAGAGGAGAATGAAAAGGAGGCGAGGAGAGGTAAGAAGAAAGAAAGAAAAGGAATGAAACAGAAACAACAGAAGGAAAGGAAAGAGGAAGAACAGGACAGGGTTGGGAAAAACAGAGCATGAAATAAATGTATACGGGAGGGAGATAGAACACGACAGCAGAGAGTGAGAATGCGAGGACACGAAACGAGGGAATCACAAGTTAATGTGGCGAGAGACTGAGAAAGAGAGAGGTGGTCCACTGACCTGCTTTACAGCTAAAGAAGAGCAGGGAAGATGCTTTCTGTCATGTGAGCAGCCAGCCAGTCAGGAGATTGAATCAACCAATCAGATGTCAGCTTTGAGTGAGCCAGACTGCTTAGAAATCAGAGCTCTCGCACATCTGCTGTGTTAACGGTCCATTTACAATAAACTCTAAAGCGCACTAATTAACAGGTGACTGGTTGTTTGTTTACAAAAATAAAAAGGTAAAAACGACACGGTGTGTTTTCTGGGGCAACATTTTGTTAACTTGGGACAGAACCAGGAGAGCTGTTACACCCTGTTTCCAGATGTTGTGCTAAGCTAAGCTAACTGTCTGCTGGATGTAGCTTGGACAGATGCTCAACTATCAGCTTAAGTTGTAGTCACAGGACAGACATTCCTAAAAATTAAGCTCAGAAAAGGCCCATGTTTGGAAAGAACTACATGTTTATTATTATTATTATTATTATGTCGGCTGTTAACATGTCGCATAGCAAGATGACACAAATACCGTGCACGCTGAAATATTAATTCATAATTACAGCCTCCAACAGCTGTTAGTTGTCTTGATCTCCTAATTGAAACAGTAGCTGCACCAACAAACAGCACATTCATCAGCCCTGCATGAAGCTGTAGTGAAAGACGGTCTAGAAGTCTGCACTGACGGAGAACAGGGATGGGTGGAAGTAGAGAGAGCGTGCTGGAGAGCGTGGATTAGAAGCTAGATCGAAAAAAAAAAAAAAAAAAAGTAATCAGACTCAGAGCGAGAGATTGAGGGGCAGCCTGACACCACAGCAGCATGTTGTTTTCATCTTCTGATTACTAAACAGGTGTTCCTCACAGCTGCAACAACACACACACACTTCACTGCCAGGGGTGGTCCAATAAGCTAACTCTGTTACATGATGACCTATATATTCAGGTAACAGCTCTGCCTGAATGTATAGCCATAGACGGCAATACGCACACACACACACATACACACACACATACACAGATCTGCACCTGCTTTAAATATGCATGTATCTTATCATATATGGTATATAAATAAAATATTGAAAAAGCAGGCCTTTGAATCCTAATGACATCTGATTAGACAATAAATCATGATTTTAACATTTTTGCTTGATAAATGGCTGAAATTGGGGCTACATACCAATAGGAAGCAATGATCATAATTATTAATAATAGTGGAATTGTATTCCGTGTTATGTCGAAGGCATCACAGCTAGTGTTTACTAGGGAAAAAAAGTAAATGCATCTTCTGCTGTGTGGAGCCATCTTTAGGATGAAGGTGCACCAAGAATCTAAATCCATGAGAAAAGATGAGGAGGAAACAATCACCCTCCACAATCAACCTGGCAATTATCGGCTTGTCTGGTAACTGCTCGGGGACATGCTAATATAATTGATCCTTCCTCTCATCAATCACTGTCAGGGCTGGATGGATCCGCTTGACCGGTGGATCCATGGACGTATAATACAAGACGCCACTTGTGGGAGCTGAGAGATGCCTTTACTGTCGATGTCTGATGACATGTGAGCCCAGGTACTTGATGATGCAGTGATGGGCTGGTTGTTGTTTTGAGCGTTGATGTTTCGGTTGTTTTTCAGTTTGACACAACAATAGAATTTTGGTACTGCTGTCAAATTTTCTGAATACATGATTTTGAACATTTCTCATAAAAGGAAATCCCCTAAATTGCACGTGCAGATATTCCATATGAAACATTTAAGGCCACGAGGCTGCATGTTTTCCTCATGCGCTACTGAGGGGGCAAACTCTCTATTCATAACATCATCACCCTTGTAGTGAGTAGCCTTGGATGGGATCCAAAGGCATTTCTACACACTGGGAAACAAGTCAGAGTGAACTTGGTAAAGAAACCCAACTGACTTTATAATAAAACACCACATTTCTAAATCTGAAAGTGAGGATTTGTTTTTGCATCTTGGTTTGAAGCAAACTGACAATGAAAGATAATCAAATCATGTATAACGTATGTTTTGTTTATGCTGTCTGTTATTAAACGTGTATCGTGGTAATCAACCATATATACTTACTTTGAGGTAATCGTTCTCCGACCTCAGCTCCTCTATTTCCCGGACAAACTCCTCGTGCATGCCGTCCATAAACTCCTCTGTGAGGTCTGAGAAAGCCAGGGATGTGCTGGCAGGGACCCTGCTGTCATACGAGGTGACCGAGCGCTCCTCGCCGGGGGATATGCTCCCTTCCCCGGTCTCCACGCCCAGGGAGAGCCGGTCCTTGCAGTCCCTCTCTGCGGAGGAGCAGGTGGTCCTGGCGGCGACTTTTTGGCACGCTCTGTCCGCCAACACGCCCTCCCTGGGCGGCTTATCACCGCCGCGGCTGCTCCTTGATTCGGCGTCGCTGCTCACGGCGTCCGTGTAGAGCTTGTTTTCCTCAGAGGCGCAGTCCGACAGCTCGGAGCTACTGTCGGTGGGGGACAGCTTCCCGGTAGCGCAGCCGGAGTCCTTCGATGTATCGTCGGATCCGATGCTGGCGTCCGACACCTTCCTCCGCCCACCAGTGCTCTTGGCCGCCTTGGCCGTTTTAGACGACGCGGAGGAGGAGGAGGATTTGCCCGCCGGTTTACCACCACCGCTCTTCTCCGCTCTGCCGTCCTTTCCAGCGAGACTTCCCACGGGGCTGCGCCTGGAAATGCGGCTCCCCAGGTGGATGGCTCCCGGTTTTACGCTCAGCGTCGGGGTCCCAATCCCTCCGCGGATCTTGGTGAGCGACCAACCGGGCACGTCCTTCGGTCTGGCCGGGGACGGAGCCCGGTTTATCTTCTTCTTCTTCTCGCCCGCAGGGTGAGCGGCCACCATCGCAGGGAGCTCCGCGTGCTGCCCGCTGTCCGAGCCCTCCGTCCCGCCTCCGCTTTCCATCTTCTGCCGGAGATGGAGTCTCCGTTCCTTGGGCGAGGCGAAGGCGAGGTGACTCGGAGAGTTATGGACATCAACCTCCTTTGTTTTTGTCATTCATTCCGTTTATGCCGAAGCGAGAAAAAACTGAAATGAGACCTCCTATTTGGTGGAACAGGAGGCAGAAGTTGGTGTGTGGATAAACAACCGCAGAGCAACACAAAAGGAGGGGATCCTCGCTCCAACCACAATGAGAGCTCCCGTAGAGCAACAAGGCGAAGAAGCAGGAAGTCCAAAAGCTGCAGAAACGCAACAAATAATCCCGTTTCCCACTGTGTGCGCGTGGAGGAAAAATAGTAAATTATTCCGCTTTGTTCTGACAGATCCCCTCCTCTCTTCAGGATGCCTGTCTCGATGACATCAACCAGCCGGTTCCTGCTCAGAGGAGCTGTGGGTGAGAACAGAGAGGCAGTGTGGTGGATATGGTCTACCCTCTCTCCCGGTTTCTCCGCCCAGATAACGGACCAGAGGGGGGAGAGCGAGAGCGAGAGAGAGAGAGAGAGAGAGAGAGAGAGAGAGATACTTCTGCAGCTCTCTGTCGCCACCATTGCAGGATATTAGAAGACAGTAGGGAGCAGGGCAAATAAAAATAATGTATGCATGCTCTGAGAGATGTAGCAGGAGTCCCCCTGTAACACGTATATGTACCTGATCATACTGTCCTACAATGTCATGTAACTACATTCCCTTATACAGCATGTTTCTTGGTACATATATCCAGACAAAGCAAGTAGGAACCATTAGGTTGATGGTTAAAAGTGTGTTTCTGCAGTGTTTTCCACAAGTGACAGGGACATTATGTCGATGACCTGTTTCATTATTAAAGCTAAAAAGCAGAACAGGACATCCTCTTCTGCTTTCATCTATTCCCTATCTCTAATAATAACCATATTCATGTTTCTTCTCCCCGCGTGTGCTGTTTCCTCAGTAGTATGACCGCATGCATGTACACACTCTTCCATCCCATTTTAACTCCCAATGTCAGCATCTTTATTCTCTATTCTGATCTTTTGTCTCTGTTGTGGCTGCTTGTCAAACCGTGACCATCGTCAGATTAAAGGCTCCTCACTGAACCAAGGCAAGATGTCAATATAGTCTGCGGTGGCATTCAGAATGACACCGCGTGAATGATTTATCGGCAGTAACTCGAGAACCGCAAACGCAGAATTAGAGCAGTTTCAATAGATTTTACCACTCAGGGATTCGCTATAGTGTATAGAAGGTCTCGTTTGATACTGGCCATGTTTACATGCACACTAATAATGTGTGACAATAGTGAGAATAATGCAGGTCTCATAAAGAGTAAACTGATTATGGTGCCATTATGCTCTTAGTGCATGCTAAGCAGTCACGTTTCACTGTTTGTTTCCACTAAAGAGATTACATGGGTCTGTATGAAGAGAGGGAGCTATTCAACATTATTTAACACATTTAAATCCAGCTGTATGAATTCAACTGAAATAAAACGGAATCACCTTTTTACTCAGTTGATTAATGTAGTGGCTCTATCCTGAATCAAATCCGTGCTGGGGCCTTTGCTGTTATTTCACACTAAACTGTTCATTAAAGAAAATTAATCTAAAAGAAGAATTCTGACCAAACTGTCTATTCCAGTCATATTGTCTTACTTCTGCTGCATTTGTAAATCCTCTGGCAGCTACCATTATGAGCTGGAGGGGTGAATTTGAAATCATGCAGTCTTTAAATCATTCAACGCCAATGATCTTGCAGTGGCAGCCACAGAACTACATCTGATAGACTGTTCAGTCACAGCAGAAATACTGCCAACAAAAGGCTGACTGTGCTGAAAAGGGGTTTTACATCTGTTGTTTTCAACACTTAGTGTCTGGAATCACTGTCATGGGGAAAATCCTCTTGTGCAGAGGAAGTGATGTATTTTCACTTTCGGGTTTGTTTTGCCGATATGACAAAAAAATAAGCGGCTGTTGTAGTTAGCATGCAAAGCCGCTTAGCTGAATGGTGAATGAATCAAACAGACAGAAAAGACAGGAGAGAACAACATGTATTTGGAGAATTTGGAAAATACAATTATTGCGAAACAACAAAAAAATGTGTAACCACCATAACATCACCTCTTGATTCATTTACAGGAGAGGTCAATGTCATTCCTGGTTATTTCATTTCCCTTCTGTGCATTGTAATTCCATGCTGAAATTGCACATTTATCAAGGATCCAATTCGACATGGAAATTGCAATTTGGAGTAGTAGAATGGATCTTTGAATCATTAATGAACAGGCCATTCATTGTATAGGGAGGGGTGGTAAGAGGCGTTCATTAAATAATTAAGCAGAAACCTAAGTGCAACACAAACAGCCAGTCCCCCACTGATAACCCTATACGAAACACAAGGTACTGTACTAGCATAGCAAATTCATAATTACGTGAAATACCTGTATAAGAACAGCAGTGCTGCAGCCATCCCAGCAATGTTGGTGTGGTTTGCTCCTTGCTGCTAGCTCTGTCTTAAATGAAAAGTGACATTAATTAGGCCCACTGTAATGGACTCCATTCCCCTCAAAACCACATATTAGTGCCTGGAATTGTTCATTTTACTCAATCCTGTCAGCAGAATATGGGTTGGTGCTGTATATGTGTAGCTAGGCATAGCTAGACATACTGTAAATCAGCGCCTCATTTGAATGAAGTAGCTCATTGCTGCTCAGTATGCTAGCATTAGTTGATAGCACACATGTGGTTTATAGACGCTTCATCTTCTGCTGCAGAAGGTTTAGTCAAGTGGGGTTGTTTATTGTAAAATTGAGTGGAGTTATTATTATTATTATTATATAACAGTTGAATACTTATTGGTGTTATTGGTACCTATAATGTGTTGTATTTCTGAACAACATTCACAAGAGGTATATAACTATTTGCGTGCATGTTTGTCTTCACCTGCAGGAACACAAATTATACCACCAGCCCTGTGTTCACCCACCACAGTGGCTCCGGATGCAGAGACATGCACATCATCAGAGCACAGCCTGCAACATGTCGGTCCACTAAGGTAGCACCTTGACCCTGCTGATTGGCCAGCCCTGTCAGATATGATGGGAATAGAGTTTGTCAGCAGAGGTCGCTATGAGTTAAAAGAGTATTTTACTCTTGATAGAGAGAGGCTGGACGAAGTTGCCTCGACCGCATCTTTCATACGAATCCAATAAATGGGGGGGTGATGATATAAATTATATATTTATATTGGGTGGTATTTTATAAAAAAAAAATATTGTCTGTGTGCAATATTTGTGATTGAAGTGCAGGGCCCAAACTAATTATATATGATTAGATTAATGATTTGTATAACTTGTAAAATCACTTGTATTTTTTTTTTTTGCATGCTGGTTTGCAGTTCCTATTTTGTTTAGGTTATTCAAGAAATAAAATATAAAATAACTCAAACAGATTTTGTCTGAGGGCTTATCAAAAATGATAGGGCCGGCTCTTTGTTGGATGGTGGAAACTGTGCAAATGTGTCATGGACAGTTTAACTGCTCTGGGCATCCCAGTGCTGTGGACACAGAAAACAGTCAGGCAACCGGCCAGCAGACTGACGGCCAATTAATCTTCCACTCAGTCCTATTTTTCTCTGACAGAATGTGTGAATCTTCTAAACGTGGTTTCTTGGTTGTTCTATGTATTCTTTGTTGTGTATTAATCTAACTTTTTCAGGACTGATAAATTGATTTTGCTTAATTACTTGTTTGGCCTGATGTCAGTCATTGAAACAACCGGCCATTCAACCTCTCATCAAGAATGCGAGTGTAAACGAGGTGATGAATGCCTCACACCCAACCCGGCTGTCGTTTAGGCCTCGATGACTGGAGGGAGGAGACCCAGCTGACCAACCAGCAAATACTCGTTAACAATGACCATATTTTACTAATTATCTGTGGAAAAAAAACACCCTGATGGGCCTTTCATTGGCGTCCAATCTGGGTATTAGAGTGCATGATTTCCAGTCTGCTTTGTTGAGAGGAAAAAAAGACAATAATGGAAACTTGCTGCCCTTGCAAGTTATCTTCAGTCAAGTAATTGGAAAGCCGTGGGAGTGTTGGTGGTTATGAAGAGGAGCTGCATCCGCGGTGCCACTGCTACCCTCTGCCTGCTGACATGAGGGGACAGACACTTTGCTTATAGAGTGCTGCAGGGATGAGTCCTAAAACCCGGAAATGAGTGAGCATTTTTGCACTTTCGGTTCCCTTGTCTCAAAGTCAAAGTCACTTTTAACGTTGTTTTCTACAATATGAAATACATCAGTAAATATCCCTCTTGTGAATTTGGAAGCTTTTACGTGTTAAAAAAAAAGCGGTTGCTAAATGGGATTACTTAACCTCATACATTGAATGTAATATAGTTTATTTACAATACAATGTAATTTTCCATCTGTGCCACATTCATCATTATTGTGTATTTCTAATCACACGTTACTGTGCTATTGGACCAAACCTTTGTGGGTCTTCCCTTAAAGCTGAACCTAGTGATTCTGCAGCAGTGTTGAAAGCCTCAACCGTTTATTTTGAATCCTTCTGCAAGAGTCAGGGGGGAATTTTGTCTGATTCTCATGTGGCCTGCTTTATCTGGAATAACACGTTTCACCCCAGATCTCCCTCCCTGCTGGGTACAGTAGATGGCCTATATAGAATGATATCAAGTCACCGACCTCATGCTGACACTGCTGGGTCCCGCCTCGGGCTCCTAAAAAATGTGCAGTACATGAAAGCGATACCATACTCCTATAATTGTTTAAGATCATAAAAATGTGAATATTACGAGGATCTTGGCTTTAAAAGGCCTCATTATTGGATTTTAAATTGTCATGCAGCAGTTCTGTATCATTGTTCCAGACCTCATCACAACTAATTGAAATATAATCTAAAATGATAAAATTAGATAAAAATGAATCTGCCTAACGCTGAACACATGAAGACCCAGCTATTAAAAGACATGAGCAAATACAATAAAATATCAGTTATCCAGAGTCTGTTCCACATAGAGGACAGTGATGAGTAGATCACCTGGGAGCAAAGTTTCTCTATCTTCTACCTCCATCTAGTGGTGAGCAGAGAAACATACAGTAAGAACTGACGGTGAGGTGTAAGGGAACAATAACACAAGAGGAAGAAAAGGCCTGAAGTAATCATTATTCTGGTGCAGAGATTGATGTTGTAAGGCGAAGAAATTCAAATGTTTAACCAGCTGCTGTTAAATTCATGATGCATTCCATCCTAAATAATGCTTATTTTTTGTTCTCAAGAAAGATATTTTTGAAGCTTTCAAGCATGCCCTGCTTTTGTTTGTTTTGGATGTATTTTAAGAAGCCATTTGTAACAACATGGCTAGGGACTACAGATGAAGAATAGCTGCCTTTTGGTTAATTCTGGCATTTGTATTTGTTACAGTCCCTTTTCTCAAATAAACCGTTTACATCTCTCTTTGCCTTACTCGCTATTCAGTGCATGTACACAATGAGAGCAGTTCTGCTGAGTCTCTGTTCAGCCTGGTGGGATATGTTTCAAATATGCAGCATCCCTCTTAACACACTGTGCATGTAAGTGTATTATGTATGGTTTTGTGAGCATCTGTATGTACAATGCATGACTGTCTGTGTGTGTTTGGTTGTGAACCAGCATGACTGTGTCCCACTGTGAGCATGAATAGAGACCTGTTTTCTCCACCGCGCCACCGTTCTCTGCCTGTTCCCTCCTCCTCTCCTGCTTTCTCTCATCCTATCCTCTGTTCCCTTTTCTTTCACTCTCATCACACCATCATGGTTGTTATGTAATGATGAGAGAAGAAATACACTGCTTGTCTGTTTGATGCTGCCCACAACATCATATCATTAGTGAAGATTCCACTTCTCTGTGTGCAGTCTTATGCAGAGTTCAGTTTTAACAGCAAGGAAAACTGGCACTTTTACTGCTAAGCCCTTTTCAAAATTATTTTCTGTGGATGGTGTGTTTTCTATGTTCAGTCAAGATGACCACTGCTCATCTTAAATGACCCAGAAATACATCAAGACTTGTGTGTATGACCAGCAAGTGTTTAAAACAACAAATTGATGATATGAGGAACAAAAGGGTATTTATTATTACAGGAATCCCTAACATGACAAATCAACATAGAGACTAATTTAGTAACTTGATAACACAAGAACATGTACACAGAATGACAGAGTGTATTAGAGATACTGTCAGTGTATAGACCATTATGCCTAATTCGTCGTCATCCCTGTGCTATTCTCTAAGCAGCCAGCCAGCTGGATCAAACATATCAATGACTGATAGGCTGCATTATTTATGAGACAGATAATACATACTGGCCAAGCTGATGTCTCACAAACAGGGCTTGAAATAAACACCAGCTATCCAGAGGCCAAATGTTATATTACAAGACCTGTAGAGCTGAAGGAAGTAACATTTACTGTGGTGGAAGTTATCAACTGTGCACATTTAGAAAAGCTAACGGATTTAAACCTCAATTTTGTTCTCTTCAAAAACATAAAACATAATCAAACATCATCTCCTGATGTGTTCGGCACCCAGAAAGACCATATTAGGATATAAAGATGCACTTTAATATGAACCGCTTTCTCCGAATGTTCTAACAATCTTCAGATCACCATTTTTGACTATCATCATCATCACTGTCATAGTCAACTGCTGGCATGAAAAATCCACAAAGTCATCGAGATCAGATACACGAATTCCAGACATTCTCATCATGTTCAGTTAATCTTGTTCAGAGATAAAGAGAGGACATCTAGAATATGAAACCATCAGGGTGTGGTGTTTAGTGGCCACCTCTGTACATGTTCCACAATTACATTATGTCCAATGTCACTGTTAAAACAAAATAGTTCAAAATACTAGTGAGATCAAAGAATTAACTGAGATATGTGATCATATGTCATGAGTCCAGGTTCAATCTATATATCATATCTTTAAAAAAAATCTTATATCTAAATAGATATACATTCAGTAATTAATAATAATAAAATTACACAAACAAAACAATGGTGTGACTTGTTATAGTAAGGCTCAGACTGCAAAAGATCCATAACATGAGATAAAACAACAAAACCAGTAAATTTCAAACAACATGTATTGTGTATTTTTTGGCATTATCAATTCTATTCTACCGCCCATTCAACATGTGATCTTATTGGGCAAGCGTTCCACACCTTACACCTGATTGGCTGCGGACCATGCCTGTCTTTCAACTAACCACGCCCCCACGGCCAGCGACTTCCGCTTCTGTGTCAATCCCAGGCTACACACTAAATTCCTGCTCATATCTCTGGACTTGTCAAAACATTCCCTCTGCACACAGCGCCGAGGTAAGGCGACAGACATTTTACTGCTCTGACTATAGTCTCCTCTTCAAGGACACACCTTTAGCTTGTATTTATTCTTATAAGAAAGGTGCTAACTATGCTTGTTAGCCACCTTTTTTCTTTCTTTTTAGCCCGCTCGCTAACGTTGATGCTAGCTGTCAAACTGCTCCTGACGTCCTGTCAGAGTTGGAGCTGTCCGCTAGGTTTATGTGGTTAAGGACAAACAGTACCCCATATGCGTATTTACTTACCTTGTTCTCATTTGACATTGTTGATTGTTAATTAAGTTTAGATTTGTAGATCAATCGCTAGAACAGTATGTGCTAATGTTAGCGAGCAAACAGTCCACGGTAGCATAGCATTCTGGGATGGGTTCTCATCGGCGCTTCTCGTTGGACGATGAACGTTGTTAAGTTGTCAATGAAGAGTTTCACTCACAACAAACAGCTTGACGGTTGAGTGATGTATAAATAACTACTGTTTGTCATCAGGCTCTTTCTAAATGTATTAGCAAACAGCTACATTACGTTGTCTGGTAGTAGCGTTAGTGCGACTGTCATTTCGTATCTGCCCAAAGTGAAATGTGAGGGAGACCCTTAAAGCATCATCAGGTCGGAAGAAGAGTAGCGTTACTGTGCGAAACCGGTCAGATCCACTTGTGTAGGAGAGATTGTAAATGGTTACCAGCAGCACTTATCTCCCTAAAGGCGTAGGCTAAAAGTCTTTACTGCCTCAGCACACAGTGGGAATGTTCCCCTGCCTGTTTAGCTTCCCACTGCCTCCATCACCACGTAGATCCAACTCACAGGACAGACCAAACAAAGCTTTGTCTCTTAATGTTGGTGTACTGGAGGTCATTGATCCCAAGCTGTGCACTGACACAGCGGGCTGTTTCTCTGCTCTCCCTGGTGTAGACGTATCCCTCAGAGGAAGATATTGTATTGCTGCATCAACTGGATTGTGATGCTGATGATGCCCGGGAACGATTAGATTTATTGTCCCAGAGGGGTATTTGTTTTCATGGCCAGTACACAGAAACATACAGATGTACACATAGTAACACACAGCCTGAGAGTCTCTTCAGATACCGATACCATGTTGTTTAGTATAGTCTATTTCAAACATTGGGAGCTTGGTATTGGCATAAGGAACTGATACTTATATTTTGAGACCCTTTATCCGGTCAACATTAACGGGACACTGGATCTTTTGTCGATAAATCGGTAACAATTGTTAAATGCGTTGATTATATTCAGCACTCTACATTGATGAAGTGGAAATGCAAACTGAACTCCTCGTAATTTTTCACATTAATAAATTAAAATAGTTCAGTTGTACCAAAACAAATTAGCATCAAAGCAAGTGGTTAATTGACTGCAATGTAATTTTGTAGGTGATTGATAATTTAAACGTGTTGTAGCTTCTATAACAAGATTCAGGTAATTTGTTTGCCATTATTTGTTAAGTTTTGTTGACAAAATTACAAATCGGTTGATTGATAAAAAAGAAGAAGCAGCAGACTCTTTCTGCTGAGTTTATCGCTTCGTTACATGAGACGGCCGGCCATTCCCTGTGGAACTACATCTGTTGTCTTTCTGTTATTTGACTCGACTTCCTCCCAAAGGGCCTTAATTATCTCTTCGTTAGTTGCTATGGCGATGGTGGAGCATCACTTTGGACCGGCGGACTACCTTCAGCGAGGCGGGATAGATGAGAGCTTTTTGTTGACGTTGTGGTTGGCTGGTGAAGTATTCATTCTGTGAACGCCTCAAGAACCGAATGTGCGATATGTATTGTTTGAGTTCTGTGGTTCAATTTAAGGGAACAGGAAAGAGATTTTGCAAGGCATGTCCTAAAAGCTAGATTTCAACACGGTAGAGAGGAATATTGCAGTGATGGCAGGTCCAACACACACACGAAAGCAGACACTAGTAGAAACTACTTGAGCTATTTTGGCAAGGTGTAGTTTTGGTAGGAGTTTTTATAATTTCCCAATGTGTGTCCTACTTCCTGTTGAATCATATTTTGCCTCTACAATCAGCGACTGTCTGAATAATTAAACATAAAAAGGCTTCATTTTGTTTTTGTGCGTCGTACATCTGCAGTGGGTTGCCACATGGGGATAAGGCAACGTTTGCACTAGTCCAGGCAACCATCCAGGCAACAGAGAAACAATACTGTATGTATAATTTATGATGAGAGCGAGCCAATCAGCAGCCTGTCTGATACACAGCCGTTGTGTTGCTCCGCTTTGTTTGGCTCGTGGTCATAGGGAGTGCATGCTGGTCAGCAGGGACAAACTGTGTGCCATTATGTCAGCGTACTGTCTCATTATTGGTGGTAATAATAGATTTAGATGCAGTGTTAATTTCCTTGACAGATATTTAACTTGTTAACGACATTATTTGTTCCAACATGTCAGGACAATTGGGGGACCGTGTACAGACTGCAGGAAGTGTGATTGGGCAGCTTGGTTTGCTTGTGGTTTTCTTCTCCATCTCTCCTGTTCTTGTTCACTGATGGTGAAGACGACATCAAAAAACACTTCTCATTCATCAAGATGAAGAGGGGCTCTATCATGTTCTCCTTGTCAGCAACACAAGACAACAAAGTGGCGAAGTTGCGCTGCTGCACAAACTGACTGAAGGAATGTCAACACAACTTGTTGTTGTGCGACACGCTACAAAATTTATCTCGTCCAGATAAATGTGAAACCTATTGATTTAGAGCTGCTAAGGCCATCAACAGGTTGAAAACTTTAAAATATATTAGAAATCCATCCCTGCATCCTGTATAGTACCTACTTATCTTCGGCGGGACCACCAGAACACCTCGACACCGAAGCAAAAAAAAAAAATCCTGTTTAACCAGATTTTGCCAGCTGAACCAGTCGCATGTGAGCACAATGTCGATCCCAGAAGTTGCGCTTGTTTTTTTTTATGCACTCAGTTGGGAGTGTCGGGGCAATTAAGGGTGGACACCTGAAAGAAGTTTTGAGGCAAGATGCTGAGATGACTTTCTATCTTTACACCTGTGTGAAAGTAAGAGTCATCCCGGCAGGTTTTACCTCCTAGCAGGTATCAGTGGAATGTGCTGATGCACACGACAGTGTGTGTGTGTGTGTGTGTGTGTGTGTGTGTGTGTGTGTGTGTTCTCAGCGTCCTACTCAGAATGAGACAGTATTTCCTTCCCAGAGAGTTTACACTGTAGCTGGAGGAGGACATACTCGCCCCCACAGTCAGAAGCAGACACACAAAGTATCTCGGTGAACACTGATGATATTAAGTCTAGTTCTCAAGTAAAACAAAAGTAATTGTATGAAACTACATGGTCTCAGACTAGCTTTAGTTTTTGCGAGGTGAACCAGGTGCTGAATCATTGTTTTCACTCGTCAATGATGAACTTGACGGGTGACGCACATACGGGCCTTGAAAATCTTGTTTTCAGATACTCACTGTGTGGAAGCTATTTTCTCTCTGAGTGGCGTTCGTTTGACTCATGCAGCTGCGGTTGTGTAGTTGTGTGGGCATATGTTAATTTGTCCTTCCTTTCTTCAGACATCCTTATTCATTATGCATTAAATAAACACAGAACACTTTTTTCCCTCCCGCTCTCATGCTTTCGTCCCTCTGCATTAGAGGTGCGGATCTTCACTGTCCTCACCATTCAATGACGGTTCACCTGTCAACGATTTGAGTGCATAACGAGTCTCAATGCATCCCGATGCTTTGCATGTTTTACAGGGGCATTCCTTAACGCATGAATTAGCCTAGTGGCTATAGTGGACTTGTCCTTACTCATATCTCCTCTCCTCCCACTTGGTTTGAGTCACTGCATCTCCCGACACAACACCGCCGATGAATTTCAGCCTGCATGCATGTTTTTCTTCAGCCTAACCTTGTTGAAACAGAGCAGCTGATGTTGGTAGCGAGAGCAACAAGTTAGCGCACCGCCGGGTGTTTGAATGCATTACATGTAATGCAGTGTGATAGTAAATGACAGCAACACGCAGTACAGACTCCAATGAAACTCCAGATGTTCTGTGTCCGCATCGATGCAGAATCGTTCAAGTCCGCATATCAAGATAGATGGATGGATGGATAGATATATACTTTATTCAAGTAACTAATTGACAATGGTGCATTTCCAGCCAGGAGTCCGGCTTGCAGCCAGTACTTGCTTCTCATAAGATTTGTGGTCTCTTCACTCATTTTCATATTTCTTTCAGCCGCACCAGTGTGTGCTTTTAAGCTGATTAGGGACAGGATATTGTAGATGTTGATGTTAGCACTTACAAAAGTTACTCCGACGAGCTTAGTCTCGTGATCGAGGACGAATGAATTTGATTTCACACTCGCAGTCATACTTTGATTTAAAAAAAAAAAAAAAAAAAAGTCGTTTGTGGTCTGTTGACATTTAAACTCTCTCCTGGTATAATGGTCTTGTGATACGTACTTCCATGTCACTTCCCTCAGCACTGATGCGTCCTACTGTAACTAAATATAGATGATATACAGCGGTAGAGGATGCTCTAAAGGTGCACTCAGGAAGAACATTCAAGAACATTAAAGAAGAACATTTTGAAACATTGGCATTAGATAGCTACGACCTATACTGTAAAGTACCTGCGTGGTAGATTTTAATCAAATGAAACACAGTCTCTGCTCAGAAACATTTAGTGAGTTTAAAGTATGGTGGAGGTACCTGAAATATTAATAAGGAATACATAATCTTGTTGTTTAGTTTGTGCACTAAAATGTTGGTGAGACGAGAAACTAAGTGCAAGGATGTTGGTCAAGAAAGAGCTGACATTTTGGGATTTTGTCAACAATATAGTGTGTTGCAGACTTAATTGAATCCATGAAATTCATTGCAGTCCTTGTGTTTGATGCCAGTCATTTGGCCTTTTCTAAAAATATATTTTTGGCGGTTCTGCTACATTAGAAAGTGAGAGAGAGAGAAAGGGGATTACATGCAGCAAAGGGCCCGTATCACTGCGGTAA